TTCAGATATATGCAAAAAATTTCTTTAAAATGTAATTAGTATTAAACCAAATGTCCTTTGTGGGATATAAAACATAGAAATCATATTAACATGAAATTGCAGAATATCTGAATTGCTGTCCTCTGATTTGGAACTTGAACAAATTCTTTACTCTGGCCAATGAAATATGAGTAGAAGTGGCAGGCTCCTTCTAAATCCAAATTTTAAGAATCACTAAGTTGATCCACCATTGTTATTTTCCCATTGCCTGAAGAAAGATAATGTGTGAAACAAGAGTTGCTCCTTTAGCTGGGATAAGGAAATAAAGAAAGTATGAAGCACAGCAAAGCTGACCAGAGCTGAAAGATACATGAGCATAAAATAATTCTAACTGTAAACTGAGATTTAGAGGCTGTTACCTTTGTTGTGGTGTAGGAGAAGAATCTTGAACATACTATGGACTGCCAAGACAACAAAGAGGTCTGTCTGGAAGAGGGTGAAACCAACTTTCTCCATGGAGGCTAGGATTCTGAAGCTCTGACTCACACACTTTGGCCATGAAGCCAGGAGGGGACCAGTCCTTGGAGAAGGACATCATGCTTGGAAGGGTGGAGGGACAGCGCAGGAGAGAAAGACCTTGGATGAGCTGGAGTGATACAGTAACTGGGGCTATAGAGGTAGGTGTATTAGAATCAGTAAAACTGGCTCAGGACAGGGCAGGCTTCAGAGCTGCTGTACATAGGGTCACTATGATTTGAAGGCAACTCTATGGCATATAACAACAATAACCCTTGCATAAGCTAGTAAAAACTAAATTTTGCAAGAAACACTTTTTTTAAAGTCTTAATTCTTCCTGGACTCTGAGATAATCATAGGACAACTCCACCTATCACATTTCCACTAAAAAGATACTTTGAAATATTTTGGCATTATAGGTTTGTTCATTTACAGAACCTAATAAAAATTAACAGAGGGTAGATATTAGTGCATGTGATGAAGCTAGAAGCAGGATATGTGTGTGTGGATATTAAAAAAAAAAAAGTTTGGTTTGAATCCATCAGATGCTCTGCTGGAGAAGGAGGGACAGTCTCCTCCTGTACCAATCAGATCTGATTTGACAGTACACACACACACACACACACACACAAAATTTTTTTTTAAATGTAAAAAAAAAGAAATGTTAAGAGGGGAAGAGGGTGGCAGGGAGAAAAGTGCAACACTGAATGACTGGAAACCTTAAGTCTCTGTAAACTTTCTTTAGAATTAATAATCTAAAAAAAGAGGCCTCTTGTTAATAGAGTGACCTAGAAATTGCAGAGGTCAGTAGAAGTCTGAAAAAGTATGGAAACTTCAGTCTAAAGATCTATCGTTTTACAAAGATTGAATTCTTCCCTTTAACCTTAAATTGAAATCAGCTTTTCAGCCAAGCTTAGGAAATGTCCGACCAAAGTACAAACCAACTACTGTCTCGGACTTTCATCAGCACTTGCTGCAACTTTCACCATCTCTATTATTAAAAGGTAAACCATTCCTATTTGACTTCTTCTTATGTGGCTAAAACACATCTAATATGGATTTATACATTCAAAGGTAGCAAATAAGTTAAAAAAAGCTGATTCATAAAAATACACCTCTGCATCTATTTTATAAATTTTAAATAAGCAAGAAAAAGAAAATAAATGTTTATTCAACCAATCTCACCAACATTCCATTTTCTCCCCCAGAAAAGACTTAATGGAGTCAATGAACAAAATACCTTCTCTACACAAGACAATACTCTAATTCCTTAAAAGACATAAAGAACATGAGGAAATGAGTAGAGAAATTGTAAATAAATAAAAATTGAAAAATAAAAATATTAAGAACTAAACAGCACTATAAAAAAAGACATACAATATCAGAATATAACTTTAGGCTCTGATATGAAACATCCTTGGGAAAATTTTTAAGTGATTACAATGCATTTAAATTATTAAACACATTCCCTCATCAAATAATCCAAAGGGGGAAAAAAAACCCATCCTTGCTGTAAGAAGTAGACTTGAATTAATAAGCAGTGGCTAAGATCTTAAAATGGTCCAAAGTCTCTGTGCCTCTTCCTTAAAGATAAGCTACAAAAACACAGTAAGGGAAAAAGGTACAGTAGATACACTGCTTAGATGCTCCTTCTTTACAAAGTCTAGCTGCTGTTTGTCTTAGTGTTATCTAGTATTGCTTTTATAGAGATACCACAGTGGAAGGCCTTATGAAATAGCACTTTATTATTGCATAACATAGGGGGCAGGACAGCCAAATTCAAAGCGCTAGCTCAAGAAGGTGTTCTCTCCATCTTCCAGTGAGAAACCTGAACGCCAAGCATGTGATTTGTCCATAGCTATTGTCTTGATGGTACTTGAGGTACCCCTACTGTACCTGCTTTCCTCCCTTTTATCTCAGGTAAAAGTCTCACACTGGATAAGGGTGTTCCAGTCTGCTTTTAACTCTTTTATAATTAAATCAGATTTTTATAGTTAATCAGATCATAGTAAATCATTACATTACATAACTATTTCACTGTTGTAATTTCTGGGTTTTTTTAAATTGTGATTTTAACAAAAGTTTACAGAAAGGTTGGGTTTTTATTCATTCACTTTTTTTTCCACCCCCAATGGTATTTTATTTAAGAACAATTCAACAGAGAAAATATAGCCTTTTTAATAAATGGTGTTTGTGATTGGACAGGCATAAACAAAACAATTGAACCTTGACCTAAGTCACAAAATCTTAATGAGTAATGAGAAAAGCAAAACAAAAACTAACAATCCATTTAGAAAATAATGAACTAAAGATGAAAAGATGATATTCTGGCAAAGAGAATATACAGATGGCACATTTTCCTCCCTCCCTCCTCTTCCCTTCCCCCTCCCCTAGTCCACATTGTAATGCACCTCTTGTTCCAGACTCTAAACTGTCATACATATAATATCTAATCATCCATTCCTTTCAGACTGTCCTGCCCCTCATCTGTTATAGTGTTCGTTATCTATCCATTCTTTTCCTGTTCTCTCCTAACCACCATCACCACACACCCCCCCCCAACACTAGTCCTATTTCATAACAGGGGTGCTATTGTAGTATTTCTCCTTTTGTAACCGAGATTTGTCTCATTTTGTAGTTTCCATTTAAACTGTTAGGAGGCCTGGAGTTAGTAGTTAATCTATCTTCCAATACACTGTTTAATATGTTGTTGTTGTTGTTGCTGTTTTGTGCCAGCGAGTCACTTGCAACTCATAGCGACCCTACAACAGCTCTAAACTCTGCTCTGTCCTGTGCCAATCTCATTGTCTCCAACACACTCATCCCGATTGCCCCAACATGTGCAACTAGGTCAGTTGGTAGTGAGACGCTTAGAAGAGCAGAAGGCAGGTGAAAGACAAGACACCTCAGCAGAGCTAAAATCCCCTACCTGAGCAGGTAACTGTTTAATATAGTACTGAATAAATGATAAAAAGCTGTCAATGGATGAGTGATCAAGTAAGAGCTCTGCTAGTCAATTTCTTTTTCCTCAATAAAGTTGCATAAACCAACAAGTTAGTGGCCTAGATTAAACAGTATAGAAAACAATCTTTTGAAAATGCAAAGCTGCTTTTGAATATACTGTTGAGATTTGTGTCATTGTTTAACTTCAAACGATGAAGCTCAAAAGTGAATATTTTGCCATGTTCAGTTAAAGTGTACAGTCTGTTACAGGTTGACACACTGATTGATCTGATTTTTTCAGAATTAATAAAATAACCATATAGTATAGCTTTAGTATGCTACATGCCTGCAATCCTAGAATTCAAAGAAGGACTTGGGACCCAGCAGTTTTGAAACATGTATATGATATGGCATACATATATGATATATATATGATATATGTATATGATCTGAAGCTCCGTCTGACATACTTTGGGCATACTGCAAGGAGGGACCTGTCATTGGAGTGGGACGTCATGCTTGGGAGGGTGTAGGGACAGAGCAGGAGAGGAAGACCCTCGATGAGATGGACTGATTCAGTGACTGAGGAAATAGGGGTCGGTGTGTCAGAGACAATAAATTTGGTGAAGAATAGAGCAGGGTTCAGAACTACTGCACACAGAGTTACGATGAGTCGCAGGCAACTTAACAGCACATAACAACAACAAAAATATATGATATGGAGTTTAAGAAATTTCTTTACTAAGTACAACCCGTGTTTAAAGTTTTTCTTCACCTTATACACCTGACAGATAAAAAAACCATAACATGGGAATAACAATCGGTTTAAAGTTACAAAATAAAGTACTACTTTGGTGTTAAGCGTTGGAAAAAAAAACCTCAAAAAATCATTAAGCTGCCAATTATCTCTACCATTAGGATTCCTCAACTAAGATACTCTTCACTTCATAAAAAAAGAAAACAAAAACTAAAACTAAAACTTACCCAACTGTCCCCTAAACATAAAAATTAAAACAGGAAAAATCTCCCAGGTGAAATGTTTTAAAAAGGAGACGAACCTATATTTTGGTTTTCCAGACTCTAAACCTCTAGTTCTTAAAAATCTGTTCATTCTAACTTGTATCATCAGCATGTGTACACTTAAAGGAATCGCTTTTTATCACCAATGGATGAGCCTTCTATCTCAAAAAATACATACTACAATTTACTAAACTTCATAAATACTTCTTATACAACAAAACAGGAAAGGATGGGCAAACTCTCTCTGTGAGGTGAAAAGCCTCTGAAAACCCACTGAAGGGTCAGCTATGAGTCGGTTCCAAATCTACACAACAACGTCACATACAACAAACACCAGCCCAACTTTACTGATTCTCTTAAGCTGGAAATTCTGTAAAACTAGTTTACTTAAAATGAGTGAGGAAAAAATTTGCTGGTAGAAGTAAATAATTTGTGATGAAATTTGACCTAGATAAAATATTTGATGGAAAGACAAAGGTTACTTGGGGAAACTGCACTTTAGTGATCATCTACTGATTAAAAAGAAAATCACATCAACTTACCAACAACTGATGCCCCTCTTTCAGCAAAAGCCAAAGCATAGGCCCGACCCAGTCCTGATAAAAAAAAAAATAATAATAATCAGAGTTAAGTAAACGTCAGCAAACAGTGTTTGGGTTTGGATTGGTTTGGTTTGGTTTTTCTCCACTCCACTCAGTCCCCATTTTCACATATCTGTTGAACAATTAATTACATTGTAACAGTAGAAACTTCAGTGGTACTCTCACCTGCATTTCACCATCTTCTACTTGCAGAAATTTGAAAGCTTCAAACTACATTTTTCTAAATTATCTACCTGTTACTATATGCATTCACATAAAATTGAGAAGAAAGTGAAACAAAGCACCTAACTGATTTCTGTCACTATAGCTTCTTAGGTGTGGAGAAAAGTGACTAGAGTCTCAATTTCCTCACCACACTCCCTAATCTCTGAATGACAGCTGCCATTCTCCAGGTCCCTGATGCCCAGTGGTTATTTTAGCTGTGACAGAGGTTCACTAGGCCTTCCTCAGAAGAACTCCAGTGGTAGTGGTTCTAAGCTTAAAAGCACTCTAACAGACCAAACACTAACTCAAACTTATTGCTGCCCAGTCATTTCCAATTCAAAGCAAACTCCTTTGGGCTTCTGAGATTGTAAATAACAACAGGAAGAGACTCCCCATCTTTTTCCCCTGGAGGAGCTGGTGGGTTCAAATGATCAGAGATGCTCCATCTTTGGGTCAGCAGCACAAACGAGTATTTTCTAGGTAATGAGCACTTGCTCTAATGGACTGTTAAGGTTGTCGTTAAGTATTATTGAGTCAGAATCAACCCTCCAGTGGGTTTTTCTCAGAGGCAGTAAATTGCACAGGAGAAGACTGCTCATCTTTCTCCCTCAGAGCTGCTGGACTCAAACTGTGTGTCTTTAGGCTTGCAGCAAAATTCCTTATCAGCACGCCACTTGTTGTTACTGTTGTTGTTAGATGCCATTGATGCATGGTGACTCTAAGAACAAGAGATCTGACCGTGTCCTCTCCTATGCTATCTTCATCGCCTCTGACATACTTGAACCCACTACTGCACTGTGTTAATCCATCTCGCTGAGGGTCTTCCTCTCTTTTGCTGACCTTTCCAAGCATGATGTTCCTTTCTAAGAAATAGACTCACCTAGAAATAACTTCAAACTATGTGAGATGAAGCTTTGTCATCTCTGTCTCAAAGGAGCACTCTGGCCATACTTTCTCCAACACAGATCTGTTTATTCTCTTCGCAGTCCATGGGATAGACAGTGCTCTTCTCCAACATCACAGCTCAAAGGCATCAGTTCTTCTGCCATCCTTACTCACTGTTCAGATGCATAGTAAGTGACTAAAAAGATCATAGCCTGAATCAGTCACACGTTGGTCTTCAAACTGTTATCATTCATTGTTCTTCAGTAATTTGGAGAAATCCCTAAATGACATTTGCCCAATGTAATAGTATCCTAATCTCCTCTGACTGTTGGTACCAAGTATATTGATTGTGAATCTAAGTAAAATGGAATCAGAGATCTGGTGGCCAAGTGGCAAGAAGTTGCTCTGCAATCCTGAAAATACAAAGTTTGAGTCCACCAGCTGCTCTGCAGGAGGATGGGCTATCTTCTCCAGGGCGACTAACTGCCTCTGAAAACCCACTGGCGAGTCAGCTGTGGGTCAGTTCAGACTCAATGGTACAGAACAACATCACAAATTAGTACTTATCTCTGAAACTGTAGCTACAAGGTTAAAGGTTCCTTTGCATTTTGTTTCCTTTTTATACTATCAGAGGTTTTTTAACATGTGTATTTTTCCATTTTAAATGGCAACAATACAAATAGCAAACTGAGATCAGTCATTTATAAGGTTCTTTTTAGAAAAACAAAAAATATAAGCCCAGTTTTCCAAAACTAAAAAGACATCACCAAATAAAAAGTGTTATGAATCTGTACTGCAATCCTAAAGGCGTTCGAATCTGCCAGCTGTTCTGTGGAAGGCTGGGTAATCTCCCTACCTCTTGAAAACCCGCTGGAGGGTCAGCTATGGGTCATTTCTGACTCAATGGTACACAACATAATCTACTCTAAGTAGATATATGCAAACTTAGCCAGTAAAAAGAGGAACAAAATGCTTGTTTTTTAAATAGGGTCAAAGCAATTGTTCTAGATCAGAGTCTTTTCGAAAAATCAAACATTCATGGCCAGAAAGCAAAGTTTTGGCAACACAGTAGAAAGGATTGAGGTGGCCCTCTTTAACAGAGTGAGCTAATCAGAAAATCGTCTCATCTTAAAGTTGTTATTAGAGGCTTTTAAAATACATGTAGTGATCTATCTTTATCGAGTTATTCTGTCCAGGCTCATTTGAATTCTACAAAACTGAGGCCCATTAACTTTTTGTGCATTTTGACTGTAAAACTGTACTAGGTGGTGTTGGAAATTCCAACCTAGCCAAGCTCAACCTTCAAGAAACTTCCAAAACTAAATATAGAGATATTTAGCTATCAGAGGTTAGTAGAGCAACGCACAGATTGCAAACAAGTGAAGAATTTAACTGCCGAGCTTCCTGTGTCAGTGGCTCCTTTCAAGAGGTCTTTCAAAATAGGGTTATTCCACCTAACAAAAGTCTATTTTACTCTTCTTGGAATGTAGGAAGCTCTGTCAACTTTCCCACCAACTGGTCCACTACAAAAAGATCTCTCTTGTCCAGTTCCTAACTACCCCCCACACCGCACTCCCATTTGATCCCTTTATTGCATGTCTACCCATAGGCATTTGCGTTTTCAACCTTGACAAGATTCCAAAGGACTTTAGACAGTGCTCACTTGCTACACATAAACGCAAATGAGATCCCTTATCAGATAGATCCCTTCTTTCCAAAGAAGGTCCTTGTAAATCTTGCGACAGAAATTAAGAAATACTTAATAGCTGTCTTTTTAAAGACAAGAGACTGACACTGCTACTCAAGTGAGAATCCCAAGTCCCGAGATGACTTTAAAAATGTGAGAGTCCTAAAGATCTGCAATCTGCAACCCAGTCAGGCCTCTCTTCTCATGCAAAACCTGGGATCTGGAGAAACTCTCAACAGTGCTGGAAATAAGAGACTGCACCTGAGTGACAGGATGTTTCTATCCCCTTACCCAAAGCTGGCTGATGCACCCACCCACCCCTCCCCTCCGCAGCAAGTTCTGCTAGATAGAAACAGCCATTTCTAGCCCCTTTCTCCCCTGCCCGATAGACCCAGCAACTTGCTCCCAATCGGTGCAGCTAACCCTGCCTGCAGCTCCCAACGCTAGGGCCGGGGCTGCGGCTGCGCACGCATGTACTGCCAGAAAAGGGGGACACCCAAAGCGAGAACGAGGCGCGGGGCTCACCTCCCCCCGCGCCGGTGACCAGCACCACCCGCCCGTCGAACCTCAGCTGCGAGGCCATCGTCTCAGCTGCAGTGACACAAACACACAAATGGAGTTGCCTAAACCCGGGGTGCTGGGCCAGGGAAAGTGGGGGAGTGGCGTGGGCGGGATAAAAGGGACGGGTCAGTTTCAAGGAAAGTGACGTAAGCCGGTGCTTTCCATGTACGCTTGCGCGAGTTTCCCTTGGAATGCTGGGAAATGTAGTCCTGCATTGTTGACATTGACAGTGAAAGCCAGCCAGACAGGCTCTTAGGGAAAAAGCCCACACTCCTCTTCAGATAGTTATTGTTGTTGAGTGTCGCTATGAGTCGCAGGCGACTCGAGGGCACATAACAACAACAACGACCCTAGAGTAGGAACCAATCGTGAGCTGGACCTCCCGGGGGTTTTCAGAAGCAGTAAATTACACAGGAGGCGATTGCCCATCCATCGCCTGCAGAGAAGCTGGTGTATTGAATACCACGCCTTTGTGTTGGCAGCAAAGTTCCTTACCCCTCTTGTTATTATGTGCCGTCCAGTCGCTTGTAGTCATAGCTACCCTATGTACAATAGCTCTGAGCCCTATTCTGTCCTAAGCCAACTTCATTGTCTCTGACACACCTACTCTCATTACCCCAGTCACTAAGTCAATCCATCTTATCCAGGGTCTTTCTCTCCTAGCTGTTCCTCCACCTTTCCAAGCATGATGCACCTCTCCAGGGACTGATCCCTCTTTGCAACATGTCCAAAATACGCTATCAGAAACCGTGGAACAGCTGGGATCTGGCTGGCACCTCATATTCAGTTATTCATGTATGGGGGGAGTGTAATTCAAGCAATAAACAAGCTTTTTCTGAGTTTAAACGCTGGCGTAAAGAAATAATAGAGAAAGGCCTCTAACTTTGAGTAGGTTTCAGTAATTTTCCTTAGGAAAGAAAATAGCTGTTGTTGTTGGTATTGTTGTTGTTATGTGCCATTGAGTCACCTTCTACTCATAGCGTCCCTATCTATATACAATAGCTCCAAAGCCGGCC